AGCCGTTTGAGCAGACTCAGTCGTCCGGTCTCGTTTCAAGCCGAGAGTCTCCCTGGTTCTCTTACACCCAGGATGTCGAGCTTGCAAGACAAGTTCTCCCGTCTTACTTTCATAACCAAGAAACCCATTACGCAGGCCTGACCATGGAGCACCATGTCTACATCGTCGCACAGACTCCAGGACTCTCATAGTGTTTCTTGCGTTTTTTGACTTCACTGCACCCCGAAGGTGCCTCCATCCTCGGCCAGACCACCGTCCGTGGGCGTGACGATACCAGGCGAGGTTTGTGCAGTCGCGGCTGCCGCTGGTGGGGCCGGTGGCGGCTGGGCCTCGGCATAACTTGACCTTGCAAACCCTCCGCCACAAGTCCTGATCCCGGAACACGAATATCCCCTGAAGCCCCAAATCTCTAGACTCTCAGTCACAAAAGATGACATTTGGAGGAATGCTTGGTTAGAGCGGCCGATCTAGCTCCGGGCTCTATGGCCATGATACAAAACTGAAGGAGCAATAGCAACAACGACAACTCCAGGCACCAAAAGCCACCACAAAACCTGGGTCCCTGGCCAGCCGTACACCACAGAGGAATTGCCTGCTGCAGAGAAGGAAATACGGCCAACACGACGCTTAGGGGCTTAGGAAGCAGGAAGCCCGACACAACTCCCGAAACCCTACGCCCTCAAGCCACAAACCCTTCAACGGCCCAGAGACCCTTCAAGGCCTCCGGGAGTTCTGCGCCTGGTTGCCGAGGCTGAATCCCAAGAGAACCACCAGAGCCTGAACAGAGTTTCGGGCTCTTGCTTGATGTGATTGCGATGGCAGTAGCCACGACCAAGGGCAGGGTCGGGTAAGGGGCGAGAACACCTGTGTCTCGCATGAGGCTTTGAGCGTGAGGGGATGCGAGCTGAGCAACTCGCCCTACGTCTCGCTATGGCGGGAGAAAGGCCTCGTGGAACGTCTCCGGCAGGCTGCCAGGCCTGATGAACCCGCTTGACCACAGAACCACGCTTGCACTGCGCTGGGATAGCGGATCTTTGGCAAAGCGTGGGCAAGAGAAGCTGAGCACAGGCACTCCGTGAAGCTCGGGTGCCCGACCCCTGTTCGTTGTCGCTGTCCGACGACAGGCTCTCCCTCAGCAAAGCAGGACATTCGAATCCCTGTGCAGCGGCATCTCTGCAATCAGGTTCAACCCATCTACACATCTAAGCTCTACTCTCACATGATCTTGTCCCTGATCATGAGCCAGTTCTGCTTCGACTTCGATTGTCGCACAGACCTAGATGCGCAATGCTACCAGTCTTGTCACATCGAGGCGACAACCCACAGTGTGACCGTTGACGTGCCGCTCCAAAACAACAACGATGAGGAACAACGGCAATAAGGATTGATAATCAACAGAATCAGCATATCATGACGGATGAGCAGCAACATGCTGTGGTTACGAGACAGACAAGCTCAGGGCCCTTGGTTGATGGAGGAGCCGAGGTCGGCCCCAATGTTCCTCTGCGGCGCTCGAAGGGGTTGAGCGGCTTTGCAAGAGCCATTTCCCAGCTCTGGGGAGAAGTCTACCAGTCCCCACAGCTGTCCCCAGGCCTCGCCCGGCGCTGTGCCAAGGCCCTCTGCCACCGTGAGCGGAGGTGAAGCCTTCCGAAGGACTTGGTCTGGAAGCTACGCGGGAGACTTCGGACTGAGGACGCAACAGACTCGAGGCTTTCGTGCACGAAATTTTGTCTTCAGAAGCGTAGAGAGAAGGAGCGGCTTGGCCTCAAAAGAACGCTCCGGAGCAGCACCACACCTCCGTCAGAGACATCCATGGCTCGGGTTAACAGGCTTGGGGCTTTCATCTTTTGGGTATGTGCAATCGTACCTGCAAATCCTAAGCACATTCCGGGCTCCGAGCCTGAGATGAAGAGAAGGTTCAGCAGCACGCTGTCCTGAGAGAGAACAAAATCGAATAGGAAAACAGGCTGTCCTGTACTTCGTTGCAGGAGGAACTCGGCCCTCTAACCGTGCACCGATGCCTTAAAGGTATCGGAGACCAGCTCCATCACGTGCCTCAGCTTCGAAAGCCCTGTGCTCCTACCCTGAACATGCGGGCTGGAAGCAAAAATTGAGCAAGGAAAGAGTCGTCCGTGTTCTTACTCTCTACCAGCACCCATCGTCGACGCCGGCATCCTAGCGCCTCCGTAGTTTACGGCTGGCAGCCAGTAAAAGAAGGTAAGCAATAGGTACTTCGATTCAAGCTCCGCAAGTCAAGGGCAGTGCAGGGTGCCAATCCAGTCGGCAGAGAGGAGCACAGCCAGGACGAGAGCCTGACATGAAACTCATCCAAAGAACTTGACCCAGGACCCAGTAGGGCCGAGCCACCGGTCATTGAGAGGGTCTGTGGAATGGGTGGCTAAACTAAACAGGGGCCCTGCCGATGAATCTCTTTGCGGCCACAAGTCTTTCCGGTCTTCCGATCGCGCTTGGAGGATTTAGTTTAACGCCTTTTGGGGCATTTAGGGTGACACAGGCATGTCGCTCCTGAAACTTCGCCTGGGTCCCTTCCCTCGCCTGAGGCAGCTTCTGGCTGGCCAGGCACGCACACATCGCGCAGAACTTGATGCTAATGAGGATGATGCCTTCCACAGCTTCAAGCATTCGGAGCACCATCTTATTTCAACGCAATTTGCAGCTTGTGGAAAGCTTTGCAAGCTAAGCCTTCAGAATCTAGACACAAGCAAACCACCCCTCAACTCACACTCCAACCACACCTGCCGCCCCACACTGAAACCCCGCACACAGTGCCACCTCCGACGACGAAGAGCCCGACGACGCCGGTCGACGGCATCATCGAGATCTTCGGCACACACAGGTCCATCTGCGAACAGCTTCCAGGAAATGATTGAAAGGTTCAGAGCCTGTTGAACCCGCTTGGGGGTTTGGGGGGGCAGGGTTCAGGGCGTCACTAGAGACCTTGCAGGGAGCACTCAGGTCTGCTGAACGGCTTATGGAACGTAGGACTTCTTATCAGTGTCAGGCTTTGGCCCAGGACTCCACAGCGATAGCCAAACGCATAATGCAGAAGCCAAGAAAAAACAAACCTCAAAATTTCTACCCCAAGCCCAGAACCCCGAATCCCCCAGTCTGCCTGCAGCGAAAGCAGGACCATCGGCAACCCGATGAAAATCATTCGCGACAGTAGCCTCGACACAACGTCGCGTTGCAATACAATTAGGTATGTCGCCGTCGCCGTTGACTGAAGGAAACGCAGCGAAGTAACGTCGTAGTAGCAGTAGCAGCAGTAGCAGCAGTAGCAGTAGCAGTAGCAGTAGCAATAGCAGTAGAAGTAGCCGTAGCAGTAGCAGTAGCAGCAGCAGTTGTAGCAGTAGCAGTAGCAGTGGTAGTAGTAGTAGTAGCAGCAGCAGCAGCAGCAGTAGTTGTAGCAGTAGCAGTATAGTAGTGCTGGTGGTGGTGGTGGTCGTGGTAGCGGCTGTTGCTGTGGCAGTGGCAGTGAGCAGTGGTAGTGGTAGCAGTACTAGACATGCATGAGCCGGGATCCCGACTTTGCATCCTTCAGCAGCTGTACACGCTTTCGGCGTGATCCTGAGCTAAGGTGACTGGTATGCCTACAACAGCTCTTGGTAGGGCTGCAGGGCTTTAAAAAAGCCGTTAAGATTAGCAGTGGATCCACGATGCGGCTTTAGCACATGTCCTGTCAACGGGTCTGAGGCCTTGGGCTTGATCTACTTGACAGAGAGGCTGTATGGTAGCAACGACTCGAAGTCTCACCTGACAGACACTACTCAAGGAGATGTGCCTATGCTAAAGTCTGTACGCGTAGGTTTTTCAGGAGAAATCATGGCATGTCTGCGAAAACCTGAAAGTCAGAGCGCAGCTTGCGTTGTACTTTACTCGTTGGGGTGGAGCAGAGCGGTGGGTAAGTGCAGACCTCAACATGCAAAGACCTTCAGGACCTTCGAGTTAAGCCAAAGCGAACTAAATGAAGTCCCTCTCAACCCTCGGCGAGGCGCCTAGGGGCTGTGAGCGTCGGTAGCACGGCTTCAGTGCTATCTCCGAGCCAGAGCACAAATGGCAAGAGGCAATCTGGATGCTGAAACCACTCAAATCAAATTGCTTGAACCAACAACGTTCAGCCCCGAACCTTCAAGGCCATGTCGAGCAAAAGACCAAACGATCATCACGTTTGACCCTCTTTAACTTTGACTCTCGACAAACGCCAACATCTGGGCACAACCGCCGTTTTCCCTGAAGCCGAAACCATGAAACGGGAGCTCAGAAGCTGAAGGCCGTGGGCAGTGAGCCCTGAAATGGGAAGCTTCAACTCTTTCTTCAGTCCTCATCAGTAACTCATGAGTACCAGCGCTTGCCAGTCTATGAATAGCAGCCATGTGGAAACAGTAGCAACAGCAACAACCGTGCGTATTCGGCACCGACGCAATCACAGTATTCACGAGAAGAGAGGGAGCAGTTCTGGTAACCGAAGATGAACAAACATCAGACCATGGTATTGCAAGCATGCATATCAACCAGCAGCAACAACGGCAGTTGGGAAAAGTTCAAGTCTTGATGATGACTGCGGAGTTTGTGATGGCGACGGCACAACCTAAAGCTTGGACGCTAAAACATAGCCGTCGCCACGATCCTGGCATCCCAAAGCCAAAGCACTCCATGTCAGCCCCGGTCGGTCGATGACCCTCATCTCACATTTGTCCGCCGCTGGCAGGTGAGGACTGTGTGCATGGCTCTTTGCCAGGAACTTTTACACCACCCACAGCACTCAGCCTTCAGATGCGGATGTCGAGGTTCGAGACTAAGGATCCTCAAGCCTTGCATCCATGAGAAGCCAGACTCCAAAGCCGAGGCGGACTCAGGGTCGAGAATCCTACTCTGCACCCAAGCAGATAGACTCCGTCTCCCGACTGTTGAACTTGCAGTCTCAGGGAGTGAAACCGTCCAGGCTCTGCTGAAGCGAGATTTTGATGCAGCCTTCGTCTTCACAGCGCAACAAGCATTTTGATGGACGAAGCTCTGGCTGATTGCAAACCTTGTGATGAAGTCGCTAGCGAAGAGGGTGCCGAGGCAAGTGACGGAGAAATAAAATGTAGCAGGAAGTCCAACCTCCCCTCTGCATGCTGCACAACTTCGATCTTGCCCGTGGCAAGCACCGGGACGGAGTTGTCGCATCCGTCCATCAAAACTTCGAGGTTCTGAAAGTTCAGCCCCTTGTTGCTCACTGCAAATCTCCGGTCAGCACGCACCTGGATCCAAGCCTTCTGAAGGAAGTCAAGCTCCACTGGCCCAAAGATCTCCTTTAACGGCTTCCCCGCTAGGGTGCAAGCACTGACGGAGGCTGACGTCGCTTGCAATCGGTCCATGTCCTGTGCTCTTGGCGCCATGCAAAAAAGGGAAACCCTCAATGCTTTGGAACCTAGTAGGAATCAGGAGAGAATTCCGTATCACAAAAAAAGGCGAAAACATGAGAATGGAAAGGACAAGCAAGTGCCAAAGAAGGGAAGAAAAAGAACAGACACTGTTGGGAAGCAAATTGGAAATGTGTAGAATAGAATATAGTAACACAAGTAACAGCAGTAGTTTGTCGTCACCGTCGTTGGCGTCCTCGCAGTGGTAGCGGTGGTGGTGGTGGTGGTGGTGGTGGTGGTGGTGGTGGCGGTGGTGGTGGTGGTGGTCGTGGTGGTGGTGGTGGTGGTGGTGGTGGTGGTCGTGGCAGTGGTAATGGCAGTGGTA